TAGTTTAGTTTTGTTTATATATATTGGAATATTTTATAAATTTCTCTTGTTTATTTATTTTGGACAAAACGTCCCTCACATTTAGAATAGGATACATCAGCTGGCATTTTAGAATGTGGATAATGTACACAAGCAAAGGACATTGCATTGACAGTACTTAGTTGATGAAGGAGCTTATCTATATCAGGAATAATTATGCTTCATTGGGTACAGATTATAAACATTGATTTAAGTTTGATTTTAGTTAAGACAATACCCTTTGATACATGTACTTCACTTTTTTGCGAAAACTCTGTATTATGTATGTATTGTTACGTCATTTTCTGGCGAGCAGGGCTTCCTTGATACATTCCATATTTTACGCATTTTTTCTTCAACATGTATTGTAATGACTTCAGTATAAATTAAATGTCCCTTGGTGTTCTGGTCTTGGATTGTGATATTGTTTCTTGAATGGTGGGTGGAAAGGGGGATTACACCCTGGGTATAGTCTGTCACGTGACTTCATGGATGACGTGTGCGCGAGTGATTCGCATTTTCTTTCGCTTGAGGTTTGTAATCACACTTTTTACATGTTTTAAGATTTTGTATCTCTGTGAAACTTGTCCCGTACCATCAATGTCTGAAGACGATCTAATTCACCAAATATCTCATCCAAGCGTGTCCCGGTTAAAGAGAAATTCGCACTTTTGTGTCTCGCAAAATGACGTGTGCGCGAGTAAATCGAATTTTACGAAGGATGGGTGCGCGAGTCTAACATATTTTTATTCACTTGAGACAATTCTGCAAGCTAAGGCAGAATACAACTCACGTGACATTTGTTTTTGTCATCTTAAAGTAGTATGTTAAAGAATAGTTTGCTATTTTGTAGATGTTTCATGTATGGCACATACATGTCTACGTTTAATGACAATAAATGTTTTGAAATAGCTTGTAGGGCTGTCCGGCATTGCAGGTGAATTAAAATTTGAACCAAAAATTGAATTAAATTTTTGGCGGTCTCATAAAACCGGCAGCATATTCATTTATTGACATCCCATACAAGGGGGGGGTCAGAGTTGTTATGTGGTTACTCGGCATCCGCCACGATCAGAACCATGTAAGGAATAGTAAGGGGAAGCCCATGATACCAAGTAATATCAAATAATTATAGGAGCTTCTAACTTCTTCCGCATCCCCACCCTTGGTATACGCAGCTGACAAAATGGATCGGTACGGGTCAAAAGCTGGACTGGTACGGGTTAACGGTTTTATTTGAATTTAAAACAGCTATAACTTGCTCAATATTGACTTCTTCGTATCTAAGTTGAAATATATGATCCCTCCGAATGATTTTAAGTACCCCCAAAGTTCACCCGTACAGGTCCAGCTTTTGACCCATACCGGTGTGAAAGAAATGATGGTCCCCCAGGGATTATGGTCCCCTTTCTTAACGGCCCTTACTGGCCATGATTGCGTATAAGATAATTAGGAAAAGAGTTGTATTTAGGTCACCATATAAATAGGACCATAATTTGATGGGACCTCCTACCCTTTTACACCGGTCCATTTCGTCAGCTGCGTATACCAAGGGTGATCCCACATACTTTGTTTTTACAGACTCAGAAATCAATGTTCGCTATAAATGTAGCAATATAATATGAGCTTTCGTGTACTCAGATCCTCCATTTGTAAAAAAAAATTGAAGAACAGCATAATAGAAAGTCAAATACAAAATTGATTTGCGCCCAAAATAGTTTGGGTAATGATTCCCGTCACTACCATGCATTTGTCCCCAAAGCAAGGTATTCTGATGGGTAAAATCTTGATACCTCCCCCTCCCCTACTAAAAATGATTTGAATTTGGTTTAAAAATATATACCCCAAGAACACTTTAAGGTATCATAAATTATTGAGGTAGTTATTAGTTAGAAAACACCGTGCCCTTATAGTATTTATTACAATTCTAGAACAATTTCATGAAACGACTCATAAGGAAATTGTTTTTGTAACTGTATACATTTCACTTGTTATTATTAGTTTCAGGTATTTAATATGGATAGCCCAAGCACGAGTGGTTTAGAAAAAGGGAGAAAGGTATGCTTTTCATATGTTTTTAAATCACCTTGTAACAAAATCAATATTGTGTCTAGCTTGCAGAATTGTTTAAAATGAATATAAATATGTTAGACTCGCGCACCCATCCTTCGTAAAATTCGATTTACTCGCGCACACGTCATTTTGCGAGACACAAAAGTGCGAATTTCTCTTTAACCGGGACACGCTTGGATGAGATATTTGGTGAATTAGATCGTCTTCAGACATTGATGGTACGGGACAAGTTTCACAGAGATACAAAATCTTAAAACATGTAAAAAGTGTGATTACAAACCTCAAGCGAAAGAAAATGCGAATCACTCGCGCACACGTCATCCATGAAGTCACGTGACAGACTATACCCAGGGTGGATTAGTTCCATTACAACTTTTAGTCCTTTCCCTTTGGCACTCGTTCTTAGATATTTATGTGAAAATTTCAGTTCGGTTATTACAAGGTGACCCAAAAAATGCCACCCATTATTTTTGAAATAACTTTCTCAAGAAAATCACAAATATTCCATCATATTTAAAAAAGTTATTTCAGAAATCCTGGGTGGCATTTTATGGTCACCCTGTCCTTTAAATCAGTTTAGGTGACACAAGACCATAAGACGCTGAAAAGTAGGGAGGCAGCCCAACTTGCCTTGCCTGCTGAAATACATCATCTTATTTGTAAATTTATAACAATAACATTGGCCAAGTATGGGGAGGCACCAGAGGGCCTTGTGTTCCCTACGTTTAGGGCAAAATCCCTGAAGATGCTGTCGGGGAGCTCCCTAGCTAAGGGCATCGGAAAGGTGTAAGTGGCTGCTATTGGCTTTAATAAGAAGGCCAATTGTACAGTATTTAGGAAAATGGCAGTCTCTGTGGTTAGTATGTTTCCATAAAGTCTGGTACCAATTAGAAATGGTTTATAATTGAATGTATTTTATCAATGGATGACTTTGCTCTGCTGATTTCTTCTGAGTGTTTTTGTTCTTGTCACCATGATAAAACGCCATGAAGCCATGATATATATTGTGTAGCTTTAGTAGAACACATTGTTGTACTCATTTGAAACTGGTATCAGACTTTTAGGGACACCTGGTATATAAGATAATCTTAAAATAGGGTAGGCCTGTAGGAAACTGAATAATGTACACATGTGCTAAATTTTAGGGAGAAAAATGACGAAGAAATGGGACAACAAACCAGGCTTTCCATTTTATTCGACCACATTGTATTATTTTATTCAAATCTTTAAATGTAATATATTTCAGGTGTGTTTACCTTGTACTGTGTTTTCATAAAGCATCTCATAACATTATCCCAATGTATTTCAACACACATTTCAAAATAGAGCTTCAAGGATGTCCCCTGGACAAAGTTGAAAATGATGAACAGTATGAACACCAACCCCTAATTTTTCTTTCCAAAATGTGAAGTAAATAGCATAATATTTCTGTGAGTTAAAAAAGTTGAACATTCAAAAGTGTGTTTTGGGGTGAAAACCTGATTAATACATGGGATTCAATGAGAAAGTGCCACACCCACTTTTGTCAAATATTGACATTTTAAGAGGCCTCTTGCTCAGAAAAAAGAGCACTGACATATGGTTTTTAAGATTTTAATATTCTTTATTGCCCGTTAGAATCCCAGAAAACCATTTTTGAGAAAAAGTTAGATACTATTTAAATAATGTTAAAACCTCCAGGGAACATCCTTAAACCTTATGATTACAAGTTCTATAAGTACTCTTCTAAATATCTATTAAAGAACAGTGTAATATTATAAACCTTATTCCTATGTCCTATATGATATATATGTGTATTCCATACCTACTGAGGTTCTAGGTACAATCGAGCGGGAATATATTCTGTAGCTGAGCTGAGGAGCTCCTGAAAAAAATTGGAAACAAATTATGTACAGTCGGTTTTCGATACAGGCTTTATTCATCGGGAAATATGTGTATCTCCCTTGTGATGAACCCTGTATCCAAAACCTACAGGTACATAACGCTTGTATACCAGGAAATTTTCCTCAGGTTGACTTTTTGATGTGATTGGATTATATGGAACACCATATATAGCGATTTTGTTTACACAGATCATACTATGTCCTGCATATAAGAATTTATGAAAATCACTTTCAACAGACCTGTACATAGAAGGTACAAATCACATATGAGTTTCTTATTTAAATATATGTTTTATATTACCCCAGTTTATTCAAAAATACTCAGATCTGTGAGCTTTACCCGAAGGAGCAGGATAGGCAACGACTTGCCGATCATATGAAACATAGTGTGCAGATACAGAAACTTCATTATGACCTGCAAGACCAGACTTCAAATGCAGTGTCAGTGTCCATGCTTATTCGAGGGGCCCTCTTAGGGGTAGAGAAAATGGAGAAAGGTATATTATGATTAATTTTCCGGATTGCAGTGTTTTTCTCTTTTCAGAGTGTTAAACCTCAGAGGGGTCTAAAGGGTTAGGTCAGGGGTGGGGTCAGATCAATATTAATTGACAAGTGGTTTAACACCAAAGACCACATCACAATTAAAACAACTTTAAGAAATAATGTGGCTTGACTTGTGGTTTGGGTATTTGTATATATGCAGAAACTGACAATAGGCTAAAATTATTATCTTTATTTAGACACCATGTGGCCACCACCTACGTTGGACGAGCTTTTTCAGGTACTTCCTCTGCCAACTGATGAGGCCATACTGGCAGCATCGAGGAGGGAGATACGACTGCTCCTAGAGCCCTACAGCGAAGAGAGGCGAAAGGTTATCCGCAAAAAAAGGATGTACTTCCTTAAAAAGGAGAAAACCAAGAGGAATAACGAAAGTAGAAAAGAGCTTCAAAGAACACAAGCAGAACTCCACACAGAAAGAGAAAGAAGGCACGCCCTTGAGGCTAAGGTGGATAGCCTGAGGAGACAAAGAAGACACTTGGAGGAGCACATTAGGGTCCTAGAAAGGGACTTGGGAAAGGCATACATGGAAGAGAACATTGTCCGCAATGCCGTTGAACATCTACTTCTGAGACAAAGATAACTCTACTTCTTTTCGACTTATTTAATGACTTGTTAACAATAAACTTTATTCCGTCCAGAAGTGCCAAATATGTTTGAGTGGATATGTTTTGTTTTGTTTTTTTACCAACAATGATATAACAATTAACTTAACTTATTTCGTCGATGTGTGCCAAAGATGTTTAGTTGAAACCACTATTTTGATACAAATATTAAAACTCCAGTTGCACTCCTGTGGCATGCAAAGTCTGCGGCAAACTGTATGGCCGGCGGAGTAGCTACTCCAGACATACACGCTCACACTTTAAGAAAAAAAAACGAGCAAGTAGCGTGCAGAAAGTGCCAACAACCATTTGCCAATCACAAACAAATTCCAAAACATAAGTGTAAACCATGTCCCGAAGAACAAATTGAAATTGAAGAAGCAACTGTTACGGTCGAGACAACCCCACATCAGGAGGCAGAGAACTTACGTGTGGAACCCACTCAGGATAGTGAAGCTACTTTGACTACAAGTGATGACCCCATGATTCAAATTGATATTGAAGAAACAACTGTTACAGTCGAGACAACCCCACATCAGGAGGCAGAGAACTTACGTGTGAAACCCACTCAGGATAGTGAAGCTACTTTGACTACAAGTGATGACCCCATGATTCAGAAAACATGCCTGGTTGAAGGATTATGATGTAGAGCTCTAATTATTTCTTTTACTTCCAGTTCCCCTGCGATCGGAGGAAGCGACATGGAGTGATGTGCAAGGCAAAATTCCCTTCACAAAGTCTCTTGGATCGCCACATTCAAATGTTTCATACCTTTGATACGTGCAATGTTGGTGACTGTCGGGTGAAAGTAATCCTGGGGAACCCCATAAAGATGCAGCGCCACAGAACGACCTGTAAGGCTCGTTTAGCAGCTCAACAACAGCTCTTCCAACCAGAGGTTTCGTTAAAACGCTTACAACCTTTTGACTTAAAGGACGTGTCCTCCGTATGTCCAAAAGATATATTCGACAACAACGAGTCTGATAATGAAACTATTGTCTATGATCCTTCCAGTTAAGGCCGTGAAACTATATCTCGGCCTTGATTTAACTAAAAGTTCCAAGACAACGATCACAAAGGAACAATCGCCTAAACCAGTAGCCAAGACTACCGACACTAAGAAACCATGCCAGTGCAGAGACATACTCAAAGAGATAATCATTTCATGTCCTCATCAAAATAATGTATATAAATTGACTGTTGAAGATAAACAATAACATAATTATGTTAAAGTAAAGGTTTGTCTATAAAAAATCCAATTTAGCTAGTCTCACTCACTTCGAAATTATATAGTTACATTTTGACATGTCCGTGGAAGGACATTATTTCAAAGGGGGGGGGGGGGGTAGTGTGACAACCGCTGAAATCAATTTCTTTGTTTGTATTGTATTTTTAACATTTTTTTAGTCACTATGATTGATTTAGTGGATGTCAGATTACCTTACCTTACTGCTGATATTTATGCAGCGGACAGTCGTGAGATATTTTTCATTTTTACTTTGGAAGATCAGTTTTGTTCATGCTGTAGACGGAGTGAGTGAGACTGGCTAAAGGATTCATTGCAAGGGAAGTATTTTTGTACTGTATACGTATATGTTATTTAACTATTTATATGTCTGTGTCAACTGATATTTATACAATTTGGTATCTTATTTTTATTTTTCTGAGATTTCATTCTATTTCCGGGTTTAGCGTATTCATTTTCAGCATACTTTTACGCCATGTTCTAGCCAATCAGAGCGCGGCTTATTTTAAACCAATCAAAACTTGTTTTACTTAGAGCTTCATCGCAGCGTTTGTAAGTAGAAAGTTTGAAGTCATACTCGCGGAACATCGACTGGGGCAGTACACTGACCAGTCTTCTCTCTTCGGATTGAACTTGCGCTACGGATTGTTTGGAAAACACGAGTTCTTTGAAATGAATCTTAGTAACAAAGACGGGGTAAGTTTGTGATCGCTGAATTCATACTCATATTTGCTTTTTAGCCGAATTTTCGTTAACTTTTTGTTACGTAATTTTGCTGTGTCAGATAAATTTGTAAAAGTGGTCATTTTTTGGGCTCCAGTTTCTCAGCATTATTGAGTCATCTGAGGCTAAATTTATGATTATTCTTACATTAACATCGTAGATTACATTCTGTGAAAAAGACGCACACTTTTGATCCATATTTTGGCAGTTTTGAGTGATTTAAGAAGTTTGTGCAATTTCCGCCATATTTTTCTTGTTCAGAAAAGTTTCAAAGTTTTGCGCTGAGTTTTTTCACTCTTTCTCTTGCCATCCATGCTTTATTTTTGTAAAATCGTGCATTTTGTGCAATAAAGTAACTTTTGTGAAAAAGCCGCACACTTTTATTGAATAGTTACGGTGTATTTTGAGACTTTAACTTTGAGTATTTCTTGTTATTCAAGATCGGCCATCTTGAAATTTCCAGGAATTTTCTCAAATTTTTCTCACAAAATCGCCTAATATCAGCGTGTTCTCTTGCCATCCATGCTTTATTTTTGCAAATAACTATTGTGGAGATAAAAATGTAAATGTTTTTGTCGGTTTAGTTGAGTTGATAACTGGCATTTTTTAGCACTCAGAGAAAAAATTGAACACCTTTTTGTCATTTTTTTCAGAATCTCAAATTTATCTCAGGTACCAAGAATTGCAACATATATTGCAGACTTGTTATTTTCAATACCAAGTTGAAGTGCTATATCAGACACAGTTAAAACATTAGTGGTTTTTTATGATTGAAGTTGATCTCAATTTGCTCATATTCATACTTTCACTTTGTGGACATATCTCTCAGTGAGGGTATTTTTTCAATTTCAATATCTTGAGTATTGACTTCTTGAACCATTGTGCTTAGGGCCTAAGGGACAATATTTCAATACTCTTGATATATGTCATAAAATCAAGGTAGAATTTATTTGGTGTAAATATCAATCCAAATGCTTATCTTCGCCAACTTTATCTAGATTCTGACCATTGTATATATGTTTTAGAAATTCCGATTATCTGAGTCAAGTGCTGTGATTGTGCCTGCTCTATATATTTTTGTAGTGACCTTAGTCGGATAAATAAGTTCCTGTTTTAGAACTTTTTATAGAGAACAACTACTCAATCTCTAGGTTTTTGGCATTGCTCAGAGTACAGTTATACTGTCTCAAGGCAATGTGTGGAATCTCGAGTTTTTAGTCATTTTTGCATAATAGAAAAAAGGTTATTGAAATTTGAGCATAGTATTTAAACGCGTTTTTATATCATTGTTGGGATACATTTTTTCCTTACATGATTCAGTAAACTGTGAGATACCGCGTTCATTGCAATAGTATTTCAGTATACAGAGGACATCAACAAAAGCACTTCTCATTTGTGTACTTTGATAGATGAAGGTTTTGAGAAATATATATTTTTTATATTACCATATACATTTTTGTACCAGAGAGCAATAAAATCATTCCTATTTTTATAAAGATGACCCGAAACTGCTTGTTTTATGTGCAATTATTGGTTGAGTAGAGTTTGTTGTATAACTATTATGTCACTTGAGTGACATATCAGTTAAGTGTTGTCATCTATTAATCATAGCAGACCACTGCTTGATCATTTTTCTGAAGTGAACATTTGATGTCTTAAACCGCCTGCCATTTGTTTATCAGCTTCACAGTAGAACAATGCTTGAACATTTACTTGTGACATCAGTTTAGCCCTGCCATCTATGGATAATTTATCTCAAGTGAACTTGTGATATGTTCACCTGCTGCCATTTGTTACCCTAAACATCAGACAACTGAATAATTTATTTGAACACAATTCTTTAACTTGAAGTTAAGCCCAGATGCTCCCTAATTCTTTTTAAAGTAGTGATTGTGACCAATCGAGTCCATTTAGTGCATTTAATCAGGTCAGGTCATTACACTATGACCAAACTAGCCTGTGATATCCCAAATGGTGATGAATTTAATAACCTTATTTAACACAAGCATCTGGACAGTTATTTACCCCCTTAGCGAGGGACGAGTATCATATTGGTAATTTGCAAAAGCTAGTGATTTTGACAATAATTCCTACCTTGGTGATATATTTTCATCCCACGAATCTAAAAGCACAGCCTATTATCGGACACACTACCACAAACATATACATTTCAATTGGCAGATGAGCCGAAGTTAAATTAATAAATTCATAAATTGCTGGTCACTCCACCTAGAGGGATAAGGAGAGACCCATCGACGTTTCAGTATCGATCTGACGTTATTTAAATATTCAGCAAAACGTCGATGGATGGTTGAATTTCAACATTGTGGAAATGGGTTCAAAATATTTGTGAGTTATGGAAACGTTACAAAGACGTCAATATGTTCTCACTAAATCAGTTCTTACAATGTGAAATGACCTCAAAACGTGACGTCGGAAATAACGTACATGTATCGTCCAGATCCAACGTTATAAATAAAAAAAAATCCTAACACTGCTGGGAACGTTAAGTACCCGGTCACCCGTAGTATGTATCCAACAGACTGACTAGAAGTCAGTCTGTTATGATGTACTACTTTCCTGTGGAAATTGCAGTGAAATTTTTTGCACAAAATTATCAATTGGAGGAACCATTTCTTCAATAAAATAAACATTACAAAATTTCAATTAAATGGTAAGGTACAATTAAATGCAATAAAAAGTAACACAGCATATTATCAAGTAGTCATATAAATCCGACCATCGTATGCTTTATTTGTCATTATTTTTTGATAATTTGGATATTTATTTTTTGTTATTTTCTTGCATACTAGGGTCGTACACACTTCCCGGTTGTAAATTGAGGGAAATGCTTTCCTGGCCTGTTTAGGCAACCAAAATCACACAAATTATGTATTAGAATATGCTCTTCATCGATAATGTATTTAATCCTACCTTACACACGTCAAACGCTTGATAATTGAAGAAGTATAAGAATTTTTCTGGAAACAATTTTTTTCCCCATGTGTAGATGCATTCTGGGTAATGATTGTGTAAAAGTAAAACTCTAGGTGAAGCGAAAAACGAAATTACAATAAATAACAGCAGCCATATTGAGATCGAGATTTCAACTCGAAAGTTTATCATCGTCTTATGGCAATTGAATCGCCTTCTCAGACACCAAGGAGGGTGAAGAAAGTTAGAAACCGAAAACAGATATGTTGGTAATAAATAATTACGATTTCGTTTTGGTTGCATGGTTTCACATTTAGACTGTATTCAGTGACCTTGAGTGACCTTGAGAACCATATTGGAAATTGGTTCAAACATATACGAAATGATTACATTTCTTCAATTATCAAGTATTTCCTGTGTTTAAGGTAAGAGTTAATACATTCTAGTTGAAGCATTGGATCCATTATCTTATCTGTGTAACTTTTGTTGAGCATAGAGGGCAGAAAAGCATTTACCGCAATATACTAGGCTTAATATCCTCGACGCAAATGTTGAAAACAAAAATAAAAAACAAATATCCAAATCGTCAAAAAGAAACGTGAAACAACAACATTAAGTCGAGTTCACTTGACTAATTGTCAAGTGTAAATAAAGCTAGTTGAAGTAACAAATGTGCAAATTAATTTTACCCAATCAGCCATTTTGAATAGCACTTCCTATGCAAACATATAATTAAAATTACCAAACTTTAACATAGGTGCCTTATAGTCTGAATATGATTCAGACTAAATAGGATATAGTCTACGGTCACCCGGTTTTTTACACAAACCCTAAGTATGAGAATTATTCATCCCAATTTCCGATGTAGAGAGATAGAACTTTATTTCTGCTTGACCTCTCACGATGTGGAGACAACAAGCGAACGCTAGTGCCTGTTCGTTCAGCTATTTGCCCGCAAACATGCGAGGCCTTACAGTAGCCGACAACATATTCGTTTCAATATGAATGATGATCATGATGGCATTGATGCGGTTTTGGAAAATGCAAAATCTCACCTCTAATATTAGGCTGGAAAGATCCAATTTTACGCGCATCATCTGTCCAAAATCGTATCCATTGTGATATCATCTACACGAACACTTCGTCGATAAAAGCGAGTACCTGTTTTCCCGATTCGGGACGACCTCCTTCCCTCCGATTTATACCCTGGCGTGAACCAACGGAACTAAAATGCACGAATTTTGCGAACGGACGTTGTATTCAGTTCGTATTTTATTGAATGAGAGCACGTATATCTTGCTTCTCTGATAAGTTTTGCCCATATGTCATTGCCTTTCATGAGGGATTTTATGAGGATTGGTTTAAGTAGTATATAGAGAGGGGGCCTATACTAGAAACAGGTCCGTCAGAAGGGGGGGGGGGGGCAGAACAGATGATCATGTGCTAGGACTGGATCATGCACTCAATGTGGCTCTCGACCCGGGGCTCTCGACTTGTGATTTTATTCGAAGCTCTCAGAATGCACCAGATGTTGTTTTAATTTGATGCAAGACTAACCTGAAATGCTCGTTCATTATAGCGGGAATTATAGAAGCAATCTACACATCATACTGAGGGGAGGCTCAGCTGGAACTCTGAAGTAACATTTGAAATTGCTAGTGTACCTGCACAAGTTATTTTCTGGTACATGTACAAAATTAAGTATGAAGGCATGTGTCAATTTCCTTGCTTTTTTCAGGAAAGTATCATTACACTGTCTACTTTTAGTAAACCTGGAACAGGTCAATGGTAGCTCCTGTACGTTGTCTGGATGAAAGAAATTTTGTAAAAATAGAAAGTGTGAAATATCACAAATTTCCTGGAGTTCCATTGATCTCCTACCAGATATTCTAAAAGAAGACATTGTAATGATACTTTCCTGAAAAAAGCAAGGAAATTGACACATGCCTTCATACTTTATTTTGTACCAGAAAATAACATGTGCAGGTATAGCAATTTTTACCAAAATGTTATTTTCCAGCTGTACCTGGCTTAATAGGCTGACTTCATTTGGTCGGTTTGTTGAAATCTGTCGAGGCCCCCTGTCGAGCTAGGTAATAGGTATGTAGTAAGCCTATTGTACCCTGCACGCAGAGTCTACCGAAGCTCTCTTTTGAGAAGCAAAGTCGAACGAATGCAAAGGATAGTAGGTCGGTAGGTATAGCATTGCCAAAAAGTTTAATTCAGAGTTCGTTTCGCATCTAGTTCAGAAAAGAAAGCTGATGATAATGATGATTTTCCCGGATAAATATAAAAGTAAACACAATAAAGTCGGTGAATATGTATAATTCATGGCTTATCTAAACATATGTCAATAATGCAAGGTGATCGTAATTACTTTAAAATACTTAAATCAAAACAATGGCAAAAATTCTGAGTGGTAATGCGAACTGAAAGACGTTCGTACTTTTGGCGTATTATGTTTTTGGCGAAGAATTTAAAGTTGTTAACAATTACTCGACGACATTATACCATTGGGCGATGCCATTAGTATGACAGTATAATTACATAATTACGTCCGAAATTGAAACAGGGTAGATTTAGAAAAGAAAAATTGGAAAATAGAAAATGTACTTTATGTAAATCTGGCAACATTGAGGATGAGGAACATTTTATTTTTCATTGCACATTTTATTAAGAAATAAGGGGAAAATATTTACAAAATCATCAAATCTTTGAAGAAAGAGAATCAACTGTAGAACATAAGTTTCAGTATTTATTTGAAAAAATGCCTCGGTAAGCTGCTCATTTTGTTAAATTTTGCTATTTTAAGAGAAGAAATGCAATTTACAATATTAAATGAATTATACTTACGTCAAAAAGATGTAATATTTATAAACAAATATCTTTACTTTAGTGGTTGATAAGCCCACGTGGGCTGGGTTGTTATTTTATTACTTTTCTTTTGTATTGTACTGTATTAAATGATGTAAACTTACCACTGTAAATAACAATAAAACTAAACTAAACTACATAGTGTAATTCTATCTGATGAGAATTTAATGCCATTTACTTATTAAGTGACTCGAGACGACTGTAAAGTTATCTCAAGTTATTACAGTACGATCCCCTGATTGACCCGTTTTAACGCTCTGTATTCTTAAAAAACCAAATCTTTCACCCGAGATAATAGAACATAAATCATTCAAAGTGAACATTCTTTGGAAATGTCATGAATTTTAGCTTTGAATACATTTGCATCCGATCAAAGGAAAACAATTTGGATTGATGTATCGAATAGTAATAGTTGACAATAATCTACAATATTTAAAAATAATCAAAATTGTCCAAAGCAGGCTTAACGTGCAGTGTACCGATGAACTTCGTTCTCCAAACCGAGACTAGTATTTTCTTTTCTCTAGTATGAATTCTATAATGTGACATTTATGCAGAAAATATTAAACTTAAAGTCATTCTCTCCAGTATAGATTCTATGGTGTCGGTTCAGAGTAGACTTTTAACAACATTGTATTTGAATTTCATTTCTTCAGTATGAATTTTATTAAGAGAAGACGTTCACACAAATGTTTTAGAAGAAACAAAACACAGGTATTTTTCTCAAGTATGAATTATATAATGTATGTTTAGATAGAATTGTGCATACACAGTTTAGAACAAACATCACACTTGAAATTCTTTTCTCAAGTATGAATTCTATTATGTGAGTTAAGATTAAACCTATCTGCAAATAAATTAGAGCAAACATCACATTTAAAGTTTTTTTCTCCTGTATGAATTTTAAAGTGTTTTGAAAGATTAGACTTGTACGTAAATGTTTTAGAACAAATATTGCATCTGAAGTTTTTTTCTCCCGTGTTAATTTTAAAGTGTTTTGTAAGACAATGTTTGTGCATGAATGCTTTAGAACAAACACTACATTTGAAATGCTTTTCTCCAGTATGAATTCTATAGTGTGCATTAAGATTAGACTTATCTGCAAATAATTTAGAACAAACATCACATTTGAAGTTTTTTCTCCAGTATGAATTTTAGAGTGTATTGTAAGGTAAGACTTGTGCATAAATGTTTTAAAACAAACATCACATTTAAAGTTTTTTTTTCTCAAGTATGAATTTTAGAGTGTTTTGTAAGATAAGACTTGTGCATAAATGTTTTAGAACAAATATGGCATTTGATGTTTTTTTCTCCCGTGTGAATTTTAAAGTGTTTTGTAAGATAAGACTTGTGCATAAATGTTTTAAAACAAACATTACATTTGAAGTTCTTTTCTCCAGTATGAATTCTGTAATGTTCCACAAGCTTGGACCTCCATTTGAACATTTTATAGCATATATCACAAATATGTTCTTCATTATGGCCACTTGGTGGTCTCTGAAAACCAACAATATTTCTACCAGAAGTTTCATTATTCATACTTGTCACATCATCAGCAAAATCCATTCCACCAACAGCATGCCCCATCAGTATTATTAAATCACACCATCAGTACTATCCATCACACTACAAGCATCATGTATCACACCATCGTCATTATTCATTACACGATCAGTTTAATTCATCACACCATCAGTTTAATTGATCACACCATCGGCATTATTTATCACACCACCAGCATTATATATCACATCATCGGCATTATTTATTACATCACCAGTATTATATATCACCCTGTCGTTATTGACCTTGACACATGTATCCCTTTGTAAACTAAGCGCTAATTAGTTCACTAGGCATGTGACGTGTATGTCTCCTTACAGCATTTATCGATTTATATAAGTTCCTTAGTAAAGTACATACATTTAATCAATGATGGTTAAATTCATAGCAATTTCAAATTGGTCAATTATCCTTTTTGTATCATTTAATATGGAATTCATACTGCGAGATGTCACTTTATAACACCTTTTGATATCCAAAAGCATCATTTTCTGTTGAAAACTATTTAATTTAAAACAGCTTTTGAAGTCTTATATCATCAAATAAAGACACATGTAGCTAAGTATCTTATGAAACACAGACCTTTTCTGGCATAATGTTTCCCGTATTTTCATGGACTCATTCAATTATGTTTTATATCCTTCTTGTCCTTTTGATATAAATGTTAGGTTCTGGTGTAGCTCTGTAATGGTGCAGTTTCTTTGATTCATTCAAACGGATACAACAGAACTTTGGATCCCACAATTGTGCAATTTATCAACACATATAACCAAGAATGATATTATTATTTCAGTAAAACTAGTCATATCATAATGAGCCCGCCAGTTTTAAGTCATTGTTAAGATTTAGAGGTTATGTCACTATCGTGGCATATATGCCCGAGGTCTCAATGATACATGGCCCGACCTTGGGAGGGACATTGATCTCTGAGAACCGAGAGCATATGTGCCACGATAGTGACATAAACGATTTATAACATACCTATGATGATGTAGACTGGTCAGAGAGTACCGTTTTCTTATAGAATTGACAAACAAATGGTTTGAAAATTGCTCGCGTAGTTTTATCTTCGATTGATTGGTTATGACGTCAGCGCCTTGACCAATCAGAAAGTTAGCGGGCGCGGGCTTTTCACAACTTATATTGGCCCGCTGTCTTGTGTACACTTTGCACTATGCATCATCATAGGTATGTTATAAAAGATAATTATTGACCCCTTAATACCAGAGAATGGAAACATCAGTCATTGCATTTCTCCCTAAAATGGCTCTGACTTTGACAAATTTTATTTAATAAACACAAACTAAATCTTAAAATATAGGTAATTAATCTGGAATGTTACCTATATATATGAACTTAAGCATTGAAATATGGCAAGAAAGCAAAAATGAAAAGTACTGTCTATACAAGGGCCGGATGTTGATAAATGCATTTCCTCTCTGTTGGCTTAAGGTAGTTGTATATACTGGCCAAATAGTGACTCAATGGTTTAGCGTAGCAGCAATGATTTGCAATTGACGAGTGAACAGCTTTAGGACATATAAATTTGGTGATATCACACTTTTGAAAAATGAGTTTTTATGTCACAACCAAAAGTGATGACATACATGTATTGTTATGGTCTCCAACTTTTTTGTGACAGAGGTTGTAGGTTGTGTCCGGCAGTCAGCGTCTGTGACAAATTCTTACAACTTCAAATTACCCAGATGCGAGTACGTAGTTACCAATTTCACCACAAGGTGGCTAATTCGGGTCCATTTAACTTGAATAATCATCAGTTATAGATTACCAATCTGATAGTTATTCAAATTGAAATGTGTCCAGTAAAACATATGACATAGCATAAGGATAACAAACTGAGTTCTAACTCAATATGTTGGAAAATACTAGTAGTTTATCTCAGATGTGAATTAGACACAATCAAATAATGCTGCAAGATAGTATGGCAGAGAGAATTGTATCTGGTGTGCCTGATGACCACAATGATTTGTCAAAGGTGTTATATTAGTCGATATAACAATATCAAGTTCATATGCCTCATAAGTTATTTGGGGAGATAACTTGATTGAAATTATTTTGTTTGGCTATAGCGACTTATAGTCTATTACGATCTAATAAGACCTAAGACAACCAAATGCTATAACATGCTTATTCCCATGTAAATGAGTTGTCTTTCCGAGAAAACTAAGATTTGTGGACATATTTTGTTATCATGCCATCATACCCCGGTATGTCCTCTGTCAGTCAATAAGGTTTGAACTAAAACTCCCCACGAAAATCAAAAGATCTCACCTGTTGAATACGCCACCTATAGAATATGTCAAAAATGTCACTCTGATTGTGATATTTTGTTTATGTTTATCTATTCGACAAAAGGTCTCAATGTTTATTAATTACATTGACTTATATTTTGACATTAATATATTTTCAAATATATGTACTCGAACAAATACTACATTAGAAACAGTTACAAATGTGTATCAACTTATCAACTATTACTATTATCCTGTTTACAAATGATTTAGTTTCACACTATAGACAAATATATACAATGTACACGCAATAAAATATTGACATTTAACATATCACTTTGTTCAGATCTACAAACATCACAATTGTCATTCCTGTCCCCAGAATGAATCACTTAATATTTCACACTATGGACAAATATATACAATGTACACGCAATAAAATATTGACATTTAACATATCACTTTGTTCAGATCTACAAACATCACAATTGTCATTCCTGTCCCCAGAATGAATCACTTAATGTTTCACACTATGGACAAATATATACAATGTACACGCAATAAAATATTGACATTTAACATATCACTTTGTTCAGATCCACAAACATCACAATTGTCATTTCTGTCCCCAGAATGAATCGCATAATTGTTCTCACTTTGATACTTTCTAAAAAATGTCCTACTGCAGACATTACATTTGAAAATTTTCTCCATTATGTATCTTATAATGGTTTGTGAGGTGAGATTTTTGGTTGAATGTTTTTAAACAGACACAAAATTTGAAATTCCTCTCTCCCAGTATGTATCTTAGCATGTGTTACTAGGTGTGTCTTAAGAGAAATATCACATTTGAATTTCTTCCTCCAGTATGTCTCTTGGAATATTTGTGATGATCCTCCCATACATAGTACAATGTTATGTGTTTATTCTGAGGATTATCACTTTGTTTAAATTGCTCTTACCTTTATTTATGAATTATGTTTGTAGATACTTCATAATTCAGGAGTTTATTCAGAATTTTCATATTTCACTACTTCCTTATTCAGCCTTTTGTTGATAGTCTCATATTAAAAAGTTTATATGTGAATTTCTTACACTAGGCACATTATGTCAACTTTATATCAAATGTTGGTTATGTTATTGTTTATTTTAGCAATATTTAATGTTATTATGTGTGATCGTTTATAGGGGGCCAAACTAAGCGATTACATTTTATTTTGAGACTATAAAATTTTGCCTAGATTTGCATGAATCATCAGTCCTTCAGTGGGACTTTGAATCACCAGCAAGTAACAGGAATTAACTTTCTCTCTGCATTTTGGATTTAATACACATACATATTGGATATATAACATCTTAGTAGATACACCATCCTAGGTGAACGGGTTGGTAAGGTAATGGAATTACTTTTACTTTAAAACAGAGAAACTGTTTATACTTTTTCCTTGTTGGTGAATCTTCTGATTTCTCTCTCTCATTTAGCTTCATTTACATTAGCATAAATTCATTTAAACCACGTTGAGGGTTATTGTATCAGGTTCAAAAAGAATATTCAGGACCATTTTGTTTGATTACGACTTTGATTTCAATCTGCCTGGTCACGCCTTGTCTCAAATGTGGCTGTACATATTTATATAGCAGATTGATTGAGTGAGCTACGTGTACATTCTTGTGAGAAGCATTTCTGATTCATTTGAAATTTACAGATTGACCTACATGCATGTATATTTAAGATTCAATCGCCAACTTGGTATTTTTGGCTTTATCTTATATAATTTGAGGGAAATATCGGCTTGCCAGTGTTGATTATTTGAGTCACTAGAATATTCATACTTAAAATCTACATTTTGAACTGAAAACTTGAGAGAACTACCAGCTATTTATTTCACTTTTATATATATTGCAACTGCCTAATGTATTCTATATCCCCAAGGTCGGGTTTGATTTGTCGTAATTAAGCTATGGCAATTTATTTGCTGCTACACTGTTAGTCTGTGTGGCTCTTGAAGTAAGATATAAACCCCCCCACAGCATGGTCTTGAAGAATTTGAACAAGCGTTGCATATTTAACTGTACCAATAATATAGAACATTTCCCGAGACGAGTTGGTTTGGAGTTTTTCTAAGGCAATCATCATATTTGCTGATACTCCGAGGGGTCTGTGATGCACCTGGTTAGTATCATCAGGCATGGACTAGTGACGATTTTTCAGTTGTCAAACAGCTTCACAGCAATAACCGACTTTTGAGTGCTCAATTCATTTCACTGGGCATATTTTATTTACTTTCCTTGAGATTGATTGTATTTATACTGGAAATTCTTAGGGAATCTAGCAATTGTTGTATTTTTCACTACATTACACAATTATTCAAAACATCCCCCGGGCAGGGTTTGATTTTGGGTAAGCAAGGGCAATTAATTTGCTGATACCCTTATTCGTCCCAGGGAACTAAGCATAGCCAGTGTTGGTATTAATTTGCTAATATAAAGCCTCACAGCATTTTAAATCTTTGTGTGCCTTTGAATTACTGTGAGAAGATCATATTTTGAATAACTGTCTTAAGTTTTTGTCCCATTTGCTACACAGTAACTATCCGACAACCTTTATATTTTCATTGCACTAATCAAACCCCTAGTCTATATTCAGCTCCCATGTGGTCACTTTATTTGTATTACATGTAAACACCTTCTGAACATTTGATCAAGATTACTATCCCGAACAGGAGATACATGCCTGTACTCATTGTATTGATGCGTATCTGGCTATTTTAGCCAGTACAGAACCCTTCTAAGAATTTATCTTGTATTGTTTTTATGATGACGATACAACCCCCCTTTTGCCTGTATTGAACTAATTAGACAGGTCATTTTACCAAGTGAGGAAAACTGGCAGGCAGAATTACGGTTATCAAGTTACGTTATAGTTTGCATTGAATTTCCTAGATACACTGAATTTCATAAGTGTATTTGACTGAAAAGAACGTTACTTTCTGTTGTTTTGCATAACTGACGGTAAATCTATGTAGAATTGTGTAACCAAACACATGTATATATTTTGAAATAGAGTTGAATTATATTCATTTTATATAATTTCCCATTACATTCTCTGTTGTGTTGAATGATTGTGTAAAGTGAGTGTGGATATAGATCAGTGTTTGAAAAGACCCCCATTCCCATATATTTTACAATCTATTATCAAGCTAGACCATTAAAAATCCAGATACTTGATAGCTGGGTAACCCAGGACCACGCTACCCAACACCCTGGGTTGCCACATATTTGACAAGGTTATGTTTGTGTTAAAATGTCTTTAGACAAACATCACATTTGAAATTCTTCTATCAAGAATGCATCAAATAATGTTCCCTAAGTTGAGACTTGCTGATGAATGTTTTACTACAAACATCACATTTGAAATTCTTTTCACCAGTACGGATCTTTTAATGCTATGTGAGGCTTACTTTTTGAGTAATGTCGTTAAACAGACTTGTTTTTTAAGGTCAGACTTTGTAATAAAAGCCTTTGGACAGTTATCACACTTGAATGAGATGTGTGCTTAAATGACTTAAGGTAGTACCTCACAATGTATCAGCTTTTTTCTACAGTTCAGATTTCCTTGTTAAAAGATACACTGATGTTTAACAATATATGTAAAAATTAGAAAGATTGGTTTAGTAATTTCTGAAAAACATGTTTTACTTTGCTTTTTTAAAAAATCCCACAATTCAGATTTTCTTTAAAAATTGATATCATTCTATGGGACAACAAATGTATTTATAAAAATATTTGGGAAAATTTACAGACCGGATCTTGAGAAAAATTGATTTAATAAATAATTAAATATGTTATTCCCGTGTATACAAGTATATTGGCTAGCTATATAAGTATATTGACTGATTATATTGCCATATAAAGGCCTAAAACTAATAAATATAATAATGAGTCATTTAAAAAGTATCAAAAATACATAATGGTTCCAAAATAATAAAAATGAAATTGTCACGGCGGAACTCGAACCCGAATCCCGCCTGGAAGCCGAGCATGATACCCCTGAGCCACCCGGGATAGCAATGAATGGGAGAGTTACTTTCTGATGTATATATAATAATGATCCTCGTCCACCGAGAGCTCACACGAGAGCAGGATTTAGGATGGGCGATCTGACTTTGCAATAGCCATTGAAAGCCTACCTTAAGCCAAATATCACATTTGAATATTTTTTCTCCAGTATGAGCTACACCATGTTCCCTAAGTTGAGATTTTCTGATGAACGTTTTACTACAAACAACACATTTGAAATTATTTTCACCAGTATGTATCTTAGAATGTGTTACTAGGTAGTATTTATTGTTAAATGTCTTAAGACAAATATTACACTTGAAATTCCTCTCTCCAGTATGTATCTTAGAATGTGTTTCAAGCCTACACTTTCGGTTAAATGTCTTAAGACAAACATCACATTTGAAATTCCTCTCTCCAGTACTTTTGGTTAAATGTCCTAAGATAAATATCACACTTTTTTTTATTTTTTTTATTTTTATTCTTTTTTTTATTGAATCAAACATAGAATAATACATTAAACAAGGCAAAGATGAAATATTAAACAACTTTCACACCACCTCCATTCATTCAGACATTCGCAACAGTCATACCCAGAAGTTCTGGTATATATATAAACATGGTATTTTCAAATTGAGTCACGTCCAAGTTGGGATTTACCTCATTAAATTGTTTTGCATATATATAATATTTGATTGCTAGTGATAGCCTGCTTAGCAAAGTGTTTTCATTATTTACAGATCTTCCGAAAACCATATCATGGGCATTAAAATTAAGATTTACATTGAATAATTTCCCCAAATTCTCTTTAATAGCTTTCAAAAAAATCTGAACCCGCCTACATTCCCAAAACTTGTGCTTTAAAGTGTCTCTTAATGGACAGTAACTACATCTAGCATCCTGTTTAATTCCTATCTGCGTTAAGTAAGCATTTGTGGTACAAATACCATGTAGAATCTTAAATTGAAGTTGTCGAATTTTATTTTGTTTTGTGCAGCTATAAGCCATTTTGAAGTAATCTATTCTTCCTAACTCACGATCATGTTCATTTTTATACAGTGGTTCCAAATATTTGTTTCTTTTTAATATTTTTTGAATTGACTTCACTGTTAAACCATTCAATGACACTGGTTTTTCGCCAAGTGTTAAATGCACAAGGTCCGTTTGTAGGCTCGGTTCAAAGACTGAAGTTAAGTCTCGCTTCAATAAACGTTTCCACTCCTTCGGTACAGCTGATATTATAGCATAATAATCAATAAAATTAAGTTGTACGTTGTATTTTGCCTTAAAATCATAATACTGTAAAAAATGTCCCTGGTCATTTAGGAGGTCATTTACGTAAACGACCCCATTATTCATAAGATGCTTATTTATGACCTCTTTGTTATTAATTAGGACAAATCTATTATTCCAGAGTATTTCACTTTTAACTTCAGAACTAGTTCTTGGAGCTTGCATATTCCTTATATCAGAGTAAATTTGTAAAATATTTGAGTAAAATTCTGGCACGTCGTGGGCTATTGTTTTAATATCAAAATTACATTGTATAAAGAACTTAATTCCCCCAAGCGGTTTAAAGTACAATTCTGGAATATATTTCCAATGACTTTGTCGAGGTTCGATTAATCTTTTTAGCCACATCAGTTTAAGTGCTTTTTCCATTGAAAACATGTCAATCATTCTTAGACAACCCTCGTCGTAATCACCAATTAAAGTTCGTCTCTTAACCTTTTCCGTTTTTCCACCCCATAGGAATGAGTAAATTATCTGTTGTGCCTTTGTTAATATATCATTTGGGGTATTTGTCATTGACATGGAATACACCAGTTTAGAAATACCAAGTGATAAATATCACACTTGAAATTCCTCTCTCCCGTGTGAATCTTAGAATGCATTACAAGTTTAGATTTGCAATTAAATGTCATTATCATAAGACAAATATCACATTTGAAATTCCTCTCTCCAGTATGTATCTTGGAATGTGTTACAAGACTAGACTTTTGGGTAAATGTCTTAAGACAAATATCACATTTGAAATTCCTCTCTCTCGTGTATCTTAGAATGCATTACAAGGTTAGATTTTCTGTTAAATGTCTTAAGACAAACATCACATTTGAAATTCCTCTCTCCAGTATGTATCTTGGAATGTGTTACAAGACTAGACCTTTGGGTAAATGTCTTAAGACAAATATCACATTTGAAATTTCTTTCTCCTGTGTGTATCTTAGAATGCATTACAAGGTATGATTTCCTTTTAAATGTCATAAGACAAATATCACATTTGAAATTCCTCTCTCCAGTATGTATCGTGGAATGTGTTACAAGACTGGACTTTTGGGTAAATGTCTTAAGACAAATATCACATTTGAAATTCCTCTCTCCCGTGTGTATCTTAGAATGTGTTAAAAGAGTAGATTTATGGGTAAATGTCTTAAGACAAACATCACATTTGAAATCCCTCTCTTCACCATGTGACTTACAATGACGTACAAGGTTAAATTTGCTGTTAAATGCCTTAGGACAAATATCACATTGGAAATTCTTCTCTCCAGTATGTATCTTACAATGTTATAAAAGGTGAGATTTTAGTTTAAATGTTTTAAGGCAAATATCACATTTGAAATTCCTCTCTCCAGTATGTATCTTGGAATGTGTTAAAAGATTAGACTTTTGGGTAAATGACTTATGACAAATATCACATTTGAAATTCCTCTCTCCCGTGTGTATCTTAGAATGTGTTAAAAGAGTAGATTTATGGGTAAATGTCTTAAGACAAATATCACATTTGAAATTCCTCTCTCCCGTGTGTATCTTAGAATGCATTACAAGGTTCGATTTGCAATTAAATGTCTTAAGACAAATGTCACATTTGAAATTCCTCTCTCCAGTATGTATCTTGGAATGTGTTACAAGATTAGACTTTTTGGCAAATGACTTAAGACAAATATCACATTTGAAATTCTTCTCTCCAGTGTGTATCTTAGAATGTGTTACAAGACTGGACTTAAGGGTAAATGTCTTAAGACAAATATCACATTTGAAATTCCTCTCTCCGGTATGTATTTTGGAATGTGTTACAACACTAGACTTTTGGGTAAATGTCTTAAGACAAATATCACATTTGAAATTCCTCTCTCCCGTGTGTATCTTAGAATGCATTACAAGGTTAGATTTGCTGGTAAATATCTTAAGACAAATATCGCATTGGAAATTCTTCTTTCCAGTATGTATCTTACAATGTTCTAAAAGGTAAGATTTTACATTAAATATTTTAAGACAAATATCACATTTGAATTTCCTCTCTTCAGTATGCATCTTAGAATGTCTTACAAGATTAGACTTTTTGGTAAATTTCTTAAGACAAACATCACATTTGAAATTCCTCTCTCCAGTATGTATCTTAGAATGCATTACGAGGTTAGATTTGTTGTTAAATGTCGTAAGACAAACATCACAATTGAAATTCCTCTCTCCAATATGTATCTTAGAATGCATTACGAGGTTAGATTTGCTGTTAAAAGTCTTATGACAAACATCACATTTGAAATTCCTCTCTCCAGTATGTATCTTAGAATGCATTACAAGGTTAGATTTGCTGTTAAATGTCTTAACTGCTGGTCCTGTTTCTGTTTTATCAACACTTGTTCTTAATATAGTTCCATTTTCACTTTCGCAATTAGATGTTTCATGTAAATTCATCTCTTGTGCCATTTAGTTTTGCCTAACGATATTATTAGCTTTTGTTGAAATCATTTATGATTATCCAGTCCAGTATTGATTTATCTCCTGTAGCTTGTATTTTTTCTGATCAGATAAAAGTAACTGAAAATTATCTTGTCATTAGAAGTCACTGTTATTTACTACAGGATCAAAAGTCACTTGCATTTGTACCATGTACGTATATATATACATAACGTGTAGTATTTACATTGTAGGAGTAACCTGTATTCTGTTAGACATCACAGTCTCTATAATACTCAGTCTTCAGCTATAGAGTAGTAGTACCATGCTCTCATATGTAACTTGTATTATTTATATTGTAGAAGTCATTTGAGAGAAATCACTGTCATTATGATGATTGTTAATATTCCCTTTGATTGCTCGGATGGTGACTGAACATCCAACATTTCGAAGATTCCTTGGTTCAGAATATTATGTGACTACTAAATTAAAAGAGCTAGATGCTTAAGTAACTTCTTCATGGCAATATTTTTATTTTTTTTATTTTGAATTTTCAACACCATAAGATTAACTAACTACAGTTAAACATGTAATATACCCGCCATGCTATCTGACGCGAACGAGCCACCCGGTGGTGAAACTGGTAACCACCTACTCGCATCTGCGTTATTAAGAATGTCATTTTCCCATTGAGCGCGATTAAAAAAGGAATTTTCAAACATAGTATTTTTTAAAAATAGCAGTATCAAGAAGTTAGCATGATATTATGGTGTTAAAAATCCAAAACAAAAAGGGAATAAAGAAAAATTGCCACAGAGAAGTTACCTGATGATGTCTTTCATCCATCAGGATCCTTGCTCGAGACATTGCAGATTGTTGTTTGATTCCCAATTCAACTTTTTTTCAGCTAAATGACTGTGCATTGTGCTTTAATATTACACAAAAAGTCTATTACTCTGACAATTAAATACTATTAAAGCATTTATAATCTTACCATCAAAATGCAAAAATGATATCCAAATATTGCGTTTGAATGGAATGTCTTGCTTCAATGTTATTTTCAACTGTCAATTACGAATGACAAAGTACTTTTACTCGGTTTTGTGCGCTGCCATGTAAAACTTGTTCATCCAATTCAGATACTTTGATGACCTGGGACAATAAACCCCATTTATATGCACAGCTGTCTATGATGCCTGAGTAGTGAATATTTTAATTTTCTCTAATGCCCTCTGGGAGTCTCTTACAAAAAAGTAGTTGTATTTAATTATACAAAACCTCCCTCAATCTTTCATATAATTTAAAATCTTTCTTATAAAATTTTGCTCAGTTGCACAACTTATTTTGTATTTCAAGATTAAAGAATTAAAACTAGTTGTCATATATGATGCTTTTGTTGAAAAATTCTTCAAAAGCAGCAATTCATCTGTAAGGGCAAATTTTCAGTTATAAATCATTTAATATTAATGTTCCAGTTTGCAACATGGGAACAACCTGATAATAGCACAGACACTTTATAAAACTACACATTATTAAAGGATAAAAACTAATAGCAATATATGGAGCCTTGGTAAAAGTTTTCCCAAAACCAACAATTCATCTATAAGGGCCTGAGTTCTGTAATAAGTCATTTTATAATTCTTTAATTCTTTTTAAGACTCATTTTAGTTTGATAAAATGTGCTGTTTTTAACCAACATGGCATTGTGAATATTTTACGATTAGATGCACCTTAATGTAAGAGTGCCACTGTTAAAAAGTGTATATCTAAATAAATAAATAAATATGAAACAATTAAGGTGAATGAGATTGAGTGAATGAGTTTTGATTTTAATATAATAGTATCATGATTAAAGAGTGAAAACTAATAGCCATATATGGTGCCTTTGTTAAAAACTTCTTCAAAAGCAGCAATTCATCTGTAAGGGCATAAGTTCACAGATGTCAATAAAAATATGTTGTTGACCCTCTGGTCAAATATTCGTATACCTTGCTACAGGCCTGCATGTATTTACAACGTGAGATATTTTGAGAAACATTTCATAAATATATTTAACAACAAAATCGCAACTTTTACCTGATTACTACAAAACACTAAAACTGCAAAAAACAATAGCCATCGTTACACTATAAATATTCACTAAATGAACAAACATAATAATTTCACTAAATTGCACAATTAATTTTGAATTGAAGAATTAATAGCCATATAGGGAGCCTTTGTTAAAACATACTTCAAAACAGCTGCTTCAAAAGCAGCAGTTCATCATCTGCAAAGGCGTTAGTTCTCTAGTGAAATTTTGATATCTTCTAATTAGACCCCATACACATAGGAGACTATTTAGTGGTGTCGTTAAAAACATCCCTGCTGGACAATCTAGGAATCGTTTAAATCCCTTTTGATATTTGCACAATTACCGTTAATTATTAGCCAATGAGGATTCAACATTCTTAAATTATGAAGTTGGAGCACCTGAAACACTGTGAATAATATTGGATAATCACATTTATGCGTGCGCGCGCAGCTTATCCAATGAACGAAACGCCACTTCCCGTTGAAATCACCGGGTATTGATTTTCCCTTGGTTGGAGCACCTGAAACATTGTGAATCAAGATTCAATAAGTAGCATTCACTTGACATGAGTTTTACTGTTGTAAATCCAGTAGCCAGTAATTTGACACTTTTGTGTCTTATCTTCTAACAAATAAAGTCTCTATCCTTCTGGAGATCTGCATCCTCCTAAGCAGATATCCAGAATCCGTACCTCCTTCTTACCCCTGCTATAACCAATTTGGAAGCGCCCGATTAAACTGAATCACGTGATCTTATTAAGGGCAATGACTTATATATGATTTCTGTCGCAGTGTTGCGACAGCCAATCAGATTGCGAGTTCTTAATCGGGGAAAGGCTAACTGCTTATCGCAGGGGGTAAAAAGAAAGAATATATTCTGGATTTTGAAGCCCTGTGATCGGAGGATGGGAGATCTGCGATGCAACATAGAGATGCTATGAGTATCAGAATTGGTGATGACATGTCAGCAAACAGATGTTTTCATCGTTTCAGAAAGACCTGGTCTCATTGAATTTTGTGAAGCAGACATGGGTTTTTGGAAACCATTTTAAAAGAACAGTAAGGAAAACAAACTATGACTTCTCATTACCTTTCTCATTTAAAATGGCTGCCATATTGGGAAAAGTATTAAAAGATAATGTTACATACTAGAAACAGTAATAACATGTACTAGTGATAGCCGGAAAAAACATTAGAATATCAATTGTATTCCGGGTAATTTATATTTACATAAAAACAAATTATTTACAAAGCCCAATAAAGTTTCCATGATCAAACACAATAATTCGAACAACAATTGTATGCCGTGGTTCCCTCAAGTCACATTGTGTTCTAAAACATATGAGTCTCGATCTAAATTTAGTACAGTTATGAATTTGCTACAAATACCTAGAATACATATTCTACAAGTTGAGATGTGACTTTCCTCCGATCCAAAGATTTTAAAACAAACAGCAAATATTACATGTGAAGTTCTTTTCTCAAGTATGCATTCTATAATGTCGGTTAAGACTAGACTTATGAGAAAATCGTATAGAGCAAACATCGCATTTAAAGTTCTTTTCCCTGGTATGGATTTTATAATGTGAGTCCAGATGCGACTTTCGTCCAAAGCTTTTAGAGCAAATATTACACTTGAAGTTCTTTTCTCCAGTGTGAATGATATAATGTTTGTCAAGATGTGCCTTTTGCCTAAATCTTTTAGAACAAACATTACACGTGAAGTATTTTACTCCAGTATGAACTTTATAATGTAAGTTGAGATTAGTACTTTGCGCAAATGATTTGAAACAAACATTACATTTGAACCTCTTTTCTCCAGTATGACTGCTATAATGTACTTTGAGACACCACTTGTGCCTAAATGGTTTAGAACAAATATCGCATTTAAAGTTCTTTTCTCCAGTATGAACTCTATTATGACTGACAAGATGAGCCTTTTGCCTAAATGTTGTGAAACAAATATCACATTTGAAGTTCTTTTCTCCAGTATGTATATTATAATGTTTGTTAAGATTGGACGTTTGTGTAAATGTTTTAGAACAGATTTCACATTTGAAGTTTTTTTCTTCAGTATGTATATTATAATGTTTGTTCAGGTTCGATTTTTGAGTAAATGCTTTAGAACAAACATCACATTTGAAAGCCCTTTCTCCAGTATGAATTCTGTAATGTAAGTTAAGATAATACTTTTCAGGAAATGATTTAGAACAAACATCACATTTGAAGTTCTTTTCTCCAGTATGAATTCTAAAATGTCTGTCAAGACCGGATTTTTGTATAAATGGCTTAGAACAAACCCCACATTTGAAGTTCTTTTCTCCAGTATGAATTCTATAATGTGTATTAAGCTGTGACTTATGTGTAAATGATCTAAAACAAACATTACATTTGAAGTTTTTTTCTCCAGTATTGATTATATGATGTCTGCTCAGTTTTGACTTTTCCGTAAATGTCTTGAAACAAACATCACATTCGAAGTTCGTTTCTCGAGTATTTCCAGTATGGATTTTAAAGTGTCTTGAAAGACCACACTTAAATGTAAATGTTTTAGAACAAAGATTACATTTGAAGTTTTTTTCTCCTGTATGAATTCTATAATGTACGTTAAGATGCGACTTTTGTGCAAATGTTTTAGAGCAAACATCACATTTGAAGTCCTTCACTTCCTTATACATTCTATAATGTGTCATTAGATTAGACTTGCGTTTGTGCACTCAATACCCGACTCTATAAGATAATATTATATTACAAAAATATGTTCTCCTTTGTGGCCATATACTAGTCCCCTTATCATCTGTTATAAATTAATGTAACGATAGAAGTGTCATTCTTCATCAAGCAAATATAATTATTTACCATAATCATATTACTATTTATCACACTTTCAGCTGGGCCATCGGCATTGTTTATTCTATACCATTAGTATATCAGGTAGGACCTTACCCCATGTATCATTGTTCATAATGTATTCATTTCCATAGTAAGTTCAAAATGATGGTGGATTCTACAGCAATAGTAGCTTTTAATTTGACATATTCAGTACTGTCAACCCCTAAAGATTTTCTCGCGGGACAGATTTTTTAGACCCAGTGCCCAAAATTCGCGGGATTTTGCGGGACATCTACTAAATTCGCGGGATTTTGCGGGACATTTAAGGGATTTGCGTGATTGCGCTAATAGGAGATTTTTTTTATCAAATTCGCGGGATTTCGCGGGACCATTCAAGGGACAAACACCCTAATTGCGGGACAGTTAACAGGTGTACCACCAAAAACTTCATAGAGGGACAGATTTTTTAGACAAAGTGCCCTAAATTTGCGCGGTTTCGCGGGACATCCACCTAAATTTGCAGGATGTCCCGGGACATTCAAGGGATTTGCGTGATTGGGACTAATGTAAGCGTGTAGAAGTACTTAAATCAAACTTTCAGATACTGATTAATCAAATATAATGCACCGTTACATTGTAACTTAAATAAACGTCAACACAATTTCACAAAATTCGCATAGGAATATTATTAAACTTTATTGTAATTTATCAAAAACAAAAACCATGCTTCAGGTGTGATTACCGTAATCTAACACGAAATTCAAAAATTCGGAACAATACTTTGCACTTCTGGCGTCGTGACCAACTATGAAACGCTTACCCCCATAATGTTATATATTAAAATGTACCTATTCATATACTGTAGGCATGGGCTTTCAATTGAAAGCCCATGATATACTGTAGGGGTTCGATTAATCTACATCAAATTATAGGGAATGAGGTTAATTTTCTAGATAGGGTTTGTATAAAAAACCGGGTACCGGGTAGTAAATCCTCCATGCCGGTTCAAACTTGGTACCCGGTCGAAAAAAAAAACAAACGAAATATACGAATACACAACATAATAGAGAGGTTAAGCTACACGTATTTAACAAAACTTGAACGTGAACTTCAATGCGCGCGCAGATAAATGACGTCGGATTTGTTTATTTCCTTTGGGCCAGCGTGAAGTTTACAGGTTTTTACATGAGATTATCATATTCGTGCAATTTACAGACGCATATTCAACAAAGCATGAACGTGTACTTCTATGCGCGCGCAGGAAAATGACGTCAGATTAGTCTACTTTCTACAGGTAGGCGTGAAAGTTACAGGTTTCTACGTGTAGATGAGTGATTACACGTCCCTCATTACGTGATTGATTTTAGCTATGTTCTAGGATGGCCCTGGAGCCCATATTTGATACAGACAATCTTACTTGTTATATTGGTAAACCCCAATCCTTAATTGGAAATTAGAATACATTTTAATGGGTAAATGACAACTTCAAATGTGATCGTTTGTTCATTCCATACAATATAAATTGGCAAGACCTATTTGATGCCCGGGGCTTAGTAAAATATGTATACTAAACGAAATGAAATGACAACCAGGGCAAGAAAGGATTTAGTGCGCCCTCCATTATGATCTCCCCATGAACAAAAATAAATTCATCTGATTTTTCAAAATAAATATACTGCTTTTATTATTACATTTATATGTACACTAGTATCTTGTTGACCTATATTCAGCACTGAATGGACCACTTATTAGGGCCAATATTCAATCATAAAGTGTACAGGGGTAGAGATGCCAAACCATGAAGTCTTTTTGTGTCTGTCAAAATCCATTTGCATCCTACACATCCCTACATCTTATCCAAATGTGTTATTAATTAATGAAACATAACAGTATAATTTTTGTATTTACAAAGTTTTATGGGATTTCATAAGTCTAAAAGTTGCTTTTGAAGCATTTTTCTATTGCCATTTTGTAGGAAAAAATGATGAAAAAATCTTTTAATTGAAGTTTGACCTGAATCGTTTGCAAACTTTATATTTGCACATCTGATGTGATATACCATTTGTGTCATATTGTGAAATTATTTAATTTGCAATCGATTCAGGTCATAGTGTATTTTAGGTATTTTTGTGAAAATCAATAGAAACCAATGGTCTCCATCGGAATCTGATGGTATCCACATGTTAAGCCAATAGAACACATCCAATGTCAAGTCAATATACCCTTGATGAACTTAATGACCTCAACCTCAAACAATGTGGGTCAAAACGCTTAAATATTTTCCAAAGTATTATGTGACATTGTATTCTTTATGTTACAGTTAAAAATGATTCATTTTGTTCATGGGGAATCCATAATAGAAAGTGCACTAGACCCTTTAATTGTGGTTGAATATGAAATTAAGCAAAAATAAAAAACAAAATGTTTTATTGCGACTAGATTCGAACCCAGGCCTTACGAACATACGTGAAGTGCTAGATTGCCGAAGTGCTATCCATTACACCATAGAGGCATGACCTTTAGACACACTCACCACATAAATATAGCTCCACGTCCACTGACATGGTTTCAGACGTGTAGCTTAACTGAAAATTTTCTTAAACGTGTACTTGAGCGTGGACTTACGCGTTCAGGTTCACGGTTTGCATTTATACGTGTAGCTTAACCTCTCTATTTAGATCATTAGAAAACGTGTAAGATTTGTTTTGAATTTACAAAAATGTATGTAACTTCCTTCAAAATTGAGCTAGAAGCTTCAAATTAAAAGCATTTTAAAGCTCTTTTCTTCCTCTATCATCTTGGTCATATTTCCATTGGTAATGAAGGGGGGGGGGGGTGCGATCGCACCCCCACCTGGCTACGCCAATGACATTGTAAGACGATTTGAAAAACAAGACAAATCAATCATACTCTATTTTCAATAGTTCGTATGTTGGTACGTGAATTGTTTTGATTATGATTTAAATCTGTAAATAGCTATCGTTGCTTTAGCAGAGAGGTGACGTGTGTTAATTTGCATGATGCAACGTGTAAGATTTTGATTATTAATCATAATTTAAGTTATTCCAATTTATGACAAAATGTCCACTGAATTGTAAATTGTTATGTCTTACAATGTCATAGGCGTAGCCAGGAGAGGGTGCGATGGTGCGATCGCACCCCCCCATAACCAATGAAAATATGGCCATAACGATAGAGGAAGAAAAGTGCCTTAAAATATGCTTTTTATTTGAAGCTTCTAGCTCAATTTTGAATCATGTTACATACATTTTAGCAAATTCAAAACAAATCTTACACGTTTTCTCATAATCTAATTATGTTATATATTCGTATTTTTCGTTTTTTGGGTACCCGTTTTTTTGACCGGGTACCGGGTACCAAGTTTGAACCCAGCATGGAGGATTTACTACCCGGTACCCGGTTTTTTATACAAACCCTTTTTAGATATCAGCGTACATTTATTGTAACTCGCGTTTGCTAACATTTGCTCAGTTCTGAGATGAAGGCCACACGGGTAGTAAAAAGGCCAACGTTGGAACTATTTGTGACCTACATCCCTATTTTCGTAATTAAAATGAAAGTTGAACCCTTCCCCTTTATTTTGATACCAAACAACAGCATGCTAGGTACTTAAAATTAGGTAAACTTTACTCCCGCAAAAGTGCAAAAACTTAGCTTCTTATATAAGATAAGATAATCAAAATATAGGGGATTGCAACAATTTCGGAAATTCGCGGTGGTCAAAGCCACATTTTGCGGGACCTTGCGGGACAATGCGGGACACGCGAATTACTCAGATGCGAGTAGGTAGTTACCAGTTTCGCCACCAGGTGGCTGATTCGGGGGAATTAACATGGCAGGGTATTACAAAATTCCCTTAAACTTGAATATGCATCAGTTTTAGTAGTTCACTTTTCATATTACCCCTGTGTATCTGATAGTTATACAAATTAAAATATGTCCAGTAAAAGAAAATATTATCTGCCCAACACAAGAAAAAATATTTCACTTTTTGTGGTTTTACAACATGGGCTCTATGGGGAATCTCCCCGACCTAGAAGTCACATTTTCAAAGAAAATTAAATTTTCAGAGTTGATTAACTCTTATCAAAACCTCATTTCTAAATGTAATTTTACATGTAGATTCCAAATATGACATCAGTTTGACTGAATTTTGAATTTTTAATGACGTAAATCAAGATTATTTCTACTCGCATCTGGGATATTAGCCTAATTTTGATCAAATTCGCGGGATAATCCCGCCATTCGCGGGACACTTGACAGCTCTGCGTTAGTGCGCTAGCGCGTTAGCGCGTAGCGCGTGTTTTTATTATAACCGCTTTGTAGAGATATTAGTGATTCCGTTTCTCTCTCCGGTTGAGATTTTATTTTAGAAGCTGTGATTCCGTTTTGGATTCTTCACTTAGAGATGTTCGACCATGCCGCCATATTTGCAGAGAAAGCAGCAGCGTGGATTTCATCAAAGTTCCTTATGCTACACTCCTCTTCGATACAAATGAAATTACTTACAGTCCGTTGTTAACCGATGCGCTAACAGTCATAGAAGATGTTGATGTAAGAACGCGCAAGCTTCGCTGAAAGAGGTAAATCTATTGGCAAGATTTGACTCCCAATGATCTCCCTAGAATTTTTTCCGAGCGGGAGGGGGGGGGGGGGGGTTTCGACGTCTCCTCTGCCTACACTCATTTTTTTATTCTGTTGACGCGAGTTTATTCTGACAAGAAAGCAAAAAAATAATATGAAATTGATTAAGGCAAGAAACGGAAGCAACACCCAATAAGTTATATGTCATTTTGAAGGGCTATAGACTAGACTATCAGGGACCACAGAGGTTTTTTAAAAAATGCATAAAAAAATCTGAAAAAATCCATATTTATGTAAAATTGGCTGAGAAAATCAATGAAACCATTCCCAAAGTTGTAGCTTGAACCATTAAAAAGTTATAGGGGTCTAAAGATGGAAAATCGAAAAAAAAGTTTTGTCAAAAAGTGTGTGTCACATGACATGGGATGTCATATTCTGAGTCACTGATGGGTGTCATATTTTTTAATT